CTTCCAGACAGCCCTGTAGATTCGAATTCAGAAGATGCCGATAAAGCAACGTCACATTAAAACAACCTTCTCGGCTCTACATCACCTAGGCTGATAATCTTATCACCCTTGCTGCAACTCATTACTCTATCCACATACCACACAAACAGAAGACGGGACAGGATGCAGCCTTGGCGGAGTCCAGTGCCAACGATGAATGGTTCCGACTAAACGCCATTTACTCTGACGCAGCACTTGCTATCACAATACAGTGGTTGGATGGCCATTACAGCAAACCATCTAACGAGTATGCTACAAGGCATGAACACTGACTGATGAATAGGATCCAGTCATAGGCGGTTTCTAGGTTAACAGAACACATGTATACCGGACACTCTGGCACAGGGCGAATATATGGTCAGAGGTGCTTCGAGCGGGCGGAAGCCACACTGCTCTTCTTGTATCCTGAGATCAGTTATTCCGAGGCACCTTCTTTCTAACACACCTGCTTAGACTTTTCCTGGCGGGCTCAACAACGTAATGCTCCTATAACTGAAGCACTTCTTGAATAGGGCTACATTAACTCCCGTTCTACAGTCCGGTGCTGTCTTTCCCGCAGTCATCGCAGTTTCACAGAGACGTATAAGCCAGCACATGCCTTGTTCGCTTAATGCCGTGAGCGTTTCAGGGCCGATTTCAGCAATGCCAACAGTCTTTACATTTATCAAGCATATCACAGCTTGTGTAATTTCGTCTAGAGAGATAATAATATCCGTTCCCTGCTGCTCTACAGGCGAGTCCTCCTGCGGTTGCGCAGTGTTAAGGAGTTCCTCAAAGTACTCCATCGCCGAAGAATGTCATCATCCTTGGCAAGAGGGTGTACAGACCTGTCCTTCAATACTATTAGACTGTCCTGCTTTTCACATCGGAGCCGGTGGATGGTCTGCCAATATACGCTGTTCGCCGTGCGGATATTCAACTCCAACACCTCACCGAACTTCTCCCAGGAATCAGCTTTGGCTTTTGACACTGTTTGCGCTGCCGCCTTGAATGCCTCGACATATCGCACGCGTGTAGATGACTCCTTGTTTCCAAGCCATTTCTTGAACGCTGCTTTCTTC